CATATGTTGGTGTTTCTTTGTTGCTTTTCTTTCTTTTGTTTCTTGTCTTTTCCTTTTCCGATGTACCAAAAAAAAAAAAAAGCGAGGCCTAGTTCACGAGTCAAATCATATGTTATCCCAGTACCAAGGCCATGGACCCACCTCCTAGCGGCATGGAAAGGGTGATGGGTGGGATATGGTGCCTGTGGAATGAACTCGAAATCTCCTATAAAATGGTAGAGATCTCACAAAATCGAGTCATTGCCCAACAGGCCCATATCTTCGTCCGACTAGCTTGGGTCGGATGAAATTAGAAATGTAAATTCTCCATGAGCAATTAAAAATTTCCATTGTATCCAAAATCTAATTTTGGACTCTATATGAATACGTTATTTGCATGAGCTAATATTTTCAAAATTTTAGCATAATCATGCATAAATATTCTCATAAGAGCATCCGTAGAGGGGCATTACTATGGGTATTTGTATTACGCTCGATACATGATAAGCCTTACGGGTTCTAGACACATCATTAATGCCCCGCTTGCATGGCAAATCGATAAGGCACCACGTAGATGTATCACATGCCCAATACATGGTGACCCCTTCGGGCGCTATGTTACCAACACCCTGCCTGTATGGCAGATTGATAAGGTACCATGCAAAACCTTAATACATGCTTACCCTAAGCGAGAGTATGCACATAAGCCCAAGTGTGAAGAGGCTTTTAACAAGCAGCACCATGACTCCCGCAAGTCCATGGCTCTTCATACCTCGCTCCAAGCCCAAACAACAATATAATCAAGCCCTTGGCTTACTTACATACATTAGACTTGGATTGATAAGAGTGAGCCCTTGGTTCTCCTAAACATTGAGATAGGCTCTTGGCCCATTCACCTATTTGATTGCCTAGGTTAGAAGCAGGACCCATGCATCACCGCTTGGCATCATCAGAGGATCCTGGACTATCGGTTGAGGTCATGGGATTGTCAAGATGGTTGTCTTCTTGCTAAGTCAACTCCATCTTGATTAGGCTTGGAGAAGAGACAATATCGACCTTACACTCACACCACGTGATGTATATATGATATGTTGCTCTCCCGCCTGCCATCAACCCACAAATGGTAGTAGGGCTTATATCACTTATGGCAGAGTTTGGAAGAACGAGCCACCTGTCCAACAAGTTGCTTGTGCTCCAATATACCGGGAGGCTATATAACTGTAATAATCCACATTTTTGCCTTTGTCATGTTCATGAGCATTTGCATGATTTTGTCTTGTTAAGCTTGCATTTGTAGACTTTGACTTGTTTTGCCTAAGCAAAGGTCCCTGTCTTGTTTTGTGCTTATGTGATTTGCCTAAGTGTTGATTTATTCTTTGTTCCTTCCTTGCTGTCTCAAGCCTAGGTCGTGCCAAGCCTAGGTCATGTTAAGCCTAGGTCATACCAAGCCTAGGTCATGTTAAGCCGAGGTCATGCCAAGCCTAGGTCATGCCAAGCTTAAGTCATCTTAAGCGTAGGTCACACCTTTGAGCCTTTTACACCTAGGACCATCTTGGAACCACTTTGGTTGACCTCCACCTTCACCCTGGCATACTGGCCGAGATGTCATCATCTAGGTCGAGCTGTGCATCACCTAGGCCGAGATGTGTATCATCTAGGCCGAGATGTTATCATCTAGGCGTCCTAGATCTTTGATCCTTACACCTAGTGATCTTGTTCCGGGACTGGAATGACCTAGACCGAGGTGTGGCACATCTAGGCCGAGGTGTGGCACAGCTTGGCCAAGTGTTATCCTTTCTAGCCGAGATCATTGAAACCTTCTTGCCGAAGCTTATGTCCTAACCCGAGATCATTATCTGCCAGAGTGCCCATGTCACCTTACTTGTTGTATACACTTTGTCATACTCTTGTCTTGTCATTCTATCACCTTTTGAGGAGAGCCAACCAGTCGTTGCCACGTGTCCCAGCAGAGGGTTAAATCAGCCAACAGAGAGAGAAAACATATCATTTGTCATATCTTTGCCTTTATAGAGAGAGAAGCTCTAGGAAGAGGGAGAGAAGTTCTTAGAGAGAGAACTAGATTTCCAAGCTTGATCTTCACACCTTGAACCGTTAGATCCGTGTTTTAAGGTTAGATTCTTGATCTACTCTTGTTATTCTTTATGTTGATCCAATCACATTGCATGATCTAGCATGATTCATGAGCCATGCATTGATTTAAAACTTGTTTTAGAAAGAGAAAATGATGTTCTTGTGGTCTTGAAATAAAACCATGTTTTGATCCGAAAGTTTGTATCAAGATCCATGTTTTTGTGTTTGTTTTCATGAAATCTCCAAGTATGGGTACCCAGGTCCATGTTTTCGAACTCATCTCATGAAATCTCAGATTTTGAATAAAGAAGTTATGATTTTAGCATTCATGTTCTTCATGTTCTTGTCCTTCATGTTCTTCAAGAGAGAAACCTAGATTTCCAGACTTCACTATTTCCCTAGGTGTGGTCACCGAGACCACTCTTGCCTAGATCTCACACCTAGGCCAAGCATCGTATCTCACCTTGGCCTACCTTGCATGATCACTTGCACCATTAGTCTATCTTGCATGCACACCTAGGCCGACCATGGTACACCCTTGCCGGCACCTTGTAACACCTCGGTAGGCAGCTGCACGCCGAAGCCTAGGTAACCACACCTCGGCCAAGAGGTGTGGGACCTCAGCCAAGACCTCCCGGGTTCACCCAGCTAGGTCATATTTGCCTAGATCATTTCTGTGCATCCATTCCAAGACCTGGTTGATACCCAGCATGTTTTCCCTAGATGAAAAACAGTGAGTTAACTCCCAACATGTTTTACTTTGTCTTAACTTGGTTTTGGAAAGAATGCCGAAAGAAATGCCGGGATCATTTTCGTTCATGTAAAGCTTGTTTTAAGGATGCATTGGACAACCATCTTTGAGCATTCCTTCTTGTCTTCTTGAAGTGCATTCAGTAGACTTTATTATGTATTTGTAGGTCTTGGATCCTTGCCTTAATCCCTACACCCGAAGAGCTATGTGAGTGGTATTTTTAACAAAGCTATGTTATAAAGTTTTGATAAAGCTTTGCTTCGTTTTGGAAAAGTATTTGATCAAGCAAGAATGATTATCTCTAATTTTTGTATCAAGTATTATCTTGTTTTGATGACATTCTTGGAAAGTCCTCCCATGCTAGGGGACTTTAAGCCCATGTAGCACCTTGTTTGAGAGATCTCTGCCATCGACGATCTTGTATGGATGGCCCCACCGACGACCTTGTGCGGGTGGATTTGTCTAATCGATTCCGGATCGATTATTCCCTTGTTTTGTCCGGAATGTCATCCCCCATGTATTATGTAGATGTTATTAAACATCCCAAGAAGATTTGAAAGATTTGATTGATGAACTTGATTCATCCCATGTTTTGTTACAAGCTACGATACGTATTGTTTTGATAAAGATCTCGGATACCATTCATTCAAACCTTCATTAATTATATCATTCACTGAGTATCCAAGCTCACCCTCCCCTTCATATATATGTAGGTGACGAGCATGAAGGCGGTGACGCCTAGATGTTATGTGCAAGTTGTTTTGGATTCATTTTGCTAGCCTCTTAAAGATTATGTTTCTTAGTTTCAATTCATTTCTTTTGTATATGTCGGCTTGAGAAGCTTTTTGATTAAGATGTAATATGTACTTTATTTTATTTGTATCCAAGTTGTAAACCATGTTAAAATGTATGTCATTTCATTTGATTTATGCACAGTTCTTATGGACTACTTAGATTTAAATTTATTGCTTCCGCACATGTAGGCCCCATATATATATACTCTGATTGTGTGAATCCTTGTAAGTTGGCCTTTGATAATCTCGGATTACTGGCCATCACAGCACCATTCTACTAGGGGCGGAGTGGGGTCGTGACAATAACATATCATATATGCAGTAGGCAGGCACAATCACAACTCCAACACTACAATACAGATTCACAACACACAAGTCCTACACTTAGACACTCATACTCACACTTGAATACACTTAAACATTAGTGTTCAAGGTCCATCACTGCCAATCTCTCCCTCTCCAATTTTGCCTTGGCCTCCTCCTCACCACCTCTGGTGATCTCAAATCATTGAAGTGCCCGCCATCTTTCTAGAGGTCAACGACCGACTACTTTTGCACACACTTCACCCACACTCATCAGTTGCAAACTTGCAAAGGAATAAGTTTAGGAAAACTTTTAAGAGTTACTTTCGCCCCGTGTTGCTTTTATTAAAATACTTTTACTTAGAGAAGAAAGATAAAGGAACATTTGAAAAAAGAGATATTTCAAAATAATCACTGGTTGTATATAAGGGTGGGCATATGTTGGAATCATTTATTAAATTTGCAGTTTTACTCTTGCATATTTCATTTATGCTTACTCTTAATGATTGACGCTAAATCTAGTCTTTAGAATAGTAAATGCATATTGGCCAAATATACTACGGACTGTAACCAAACCAAGTAAACTTTGCTGTAGTAGTACTGACCTGCAATCAGTTTGTGACTTTACATTGGCTTCTTGATACTGATAAATTTTAGTTTTGTTTACTCTAAACCATGTGACATTATTTAGGGAATATTTCTGTGGTGGATGGGACAATTTTATTTCTGTGTCCTGAATTTAAGACATTTGTTTTTGTCACTGGGTGTATTCCATATGAAGTGGTTATTTTTGGGATTTTCAGAAAAGGACATTGCTTATGATATTTGCTGATAACAGCATTTTTTTAATAAACGAATTCATTAACTTTTTGAGTCACTTGATTTTTGTGTCTTCATGACTCATTCAAACGTTGTGGTGCTTTCTAGTGTTGTGGAGGACTGATTGGACCCATTCTTATTTCATGGGACATTCAATTGTTTCTTGAGTATCGTCAGATGAAAAGTTGTACATTTCAGTGGTCATGAAAGTTCTTTCTTTATGTTCTTATATCTTGAACAAATTAGTTAATTTGTTTCCACAGAGTTGGAGCTACTCTTCTCCATGGACCAAAGGCAAAATCTTTGAGAATTTCATTGTTTAAAGGCCGTGCCCAAAATGATGAATCAGGAAGCAGAGTAAATGGATCGAAGTCTGTCAAGAATTCTGTCAAGCTTTCTTATGTACAAGGGAGTGAAGAAACCTTCACAGAATCTCAAGAGTTGCAGGATGCTCCGCTTTCCTATGCTTCTGAAGCAGATGAGACAATAGCAGGATCTGTGGCTATACAAAAGTTATTCAAGAATTGGCTGACACTATTGTGCACACAACCCTCAAATCAAGTAGTGGATGAAACTTTGGATGGACCAGACTCTGGGAAAATTTCAGTTATGCGGAATGGGGTGCAAAAGAAAGAAAGAGGTGAGATTCTAAAGGCAGTTTGGTGCTATTTTTGGGGTCTAGATGCGACAGTAAAGATACCATTATTAATATTGTAAGTATAACAGTTTAAATCTCTCTCTCTCTCTCTCTCTCTCTCTCTCCATTTTTTTTTTTTGAAGTTCAAGATCTTGTTCATCTTTGTTGTTGTTGGGAAGACTTTCTTGTTACAAAGCTTGAAAGAAAAACAGAGAGATCAAACACCGTTTCCCACTGTTTGACTGAATGTTTGTCTGTTATTTGCTTGAGTCAAGCTTTTCTGATACTCTTCTGACCAGAATGGCCCCACCTTCTATTTTCTGAATGTTTGGGAATAAGAGATAATGTATTACTAGTTTTAGAGAGAACAAATTACTCCTACCTATTGATAACCTAGTGGAGCACACCATTAGTTTTACTCAGTGGAATGTTGATTCTACTTTAACTGCTTGTTGCAATCAAATCTGTGTCCTGTTAATTTAACACAATTTTGGATATTTTCAAATTACTAGTTTTTTAAGGAAAACAGGTTTACCAAAAATACGTTTCCATTTTAATCTGAGTTTTGTGGATTGTTAACAATCCTCACATCACAATTTTTTTAAGTCAGAGGTCCTACCATGTCATTGTTTGCATTGTTATTAACATATGCTATATTGTCTTTCTTGAATGTGATGATATACACACCACGCGTTCACGCGACATAGTTTTTTAGCTTCTGATTGTTGTGCCTATATTTGCAGCATCCCTTTGTACCTGGCAGTTAATGTTGCTTATGGAGCTGAAGTTTCGAAGGAGTTGACCCCTTTGTGGGTTTGTGGGCCATTGGTTGTTGCTCTCTATATTAAGATACTTCATGGCTTATGTGCGCTCTATGTTTTCAGCTTCAAGCAGACAGTTAAACTAGTAAACAACTTACCCACCTACTATGCAGTGGCATATAATTACATTGGTCATGGAATATACAATCATTTATGGAAACATGTGGTGGTAATTAAAAACTTAGACTACAAAAAGTTGTCGAAAACAAAGAGAGAAGATTTGGAACTGTGGGCGGCTGAAAAGTACCTGGATTTTGTGGAATCAATATGGCCTTATTATTGCAGAACAATCAGGTTCCTAAGGCGGGCAAATCTTATCTAGTTTTTGGGATTACAATTTCAGGATGTTTGTGAGAGCAGAAGGAATGGAGATTTGATGTTTTTTTTTTGTTGATATTTTCAGGGTAGAAATTGAGACAGCTTGAAAACCCCATTTTGGAATATGGGGTTCTTCTCATTCTCTTTGTGTAGCTTTAGGGGAGATTCCATCAATTGAGCAGGTTGAATTGTATAATTTTTTCAATGCATTGTGTTTTTTTATCATCAAGGGAGTACCAAATGTTTCTGCATTTGCTTGGTGCTGTTCCAGAATGGGATGAGAATATTTCTTGCAGTACGGTCAAGTCACTGAATGGGTGTTCTTTTATTTATATTATTATTATTAATTTTTATTGATTAATTTTATTTAATTTTAGTTTATCTTCTCAGATCACCTTGCCCTCTCTCATTTCTCGTGTATTTTCAATCTTTATTGTTAAGGTTGTGTGTTATGTCCAAAGAAAGAGCCACCACCAAATCAGCCACAAAGGACCTTGTGTTGATTAGCCAGCCTAGGATTTTCTCAGCAAGTTGTGCCATTTTTTGCTTTCCCAATGTATCAGCATAAACCATACAGAAATAAATGTCTATGTTTTCAGCTTTTTGTGTCTACTCCCATCCCGCCGTATATATGCATGCCATATGATGTGTTGTTTGGCATCTCTTTTGTTTGAAAGTGAAAAACCTGAATGATGGATGATAATTGAGACTTGAGAGTGAGTTGGCTCATCCACGGGGAAAAACGAGGAGAAAGAGAATAAAAGGTTACTTAAAGTTGACAGACAAGATTGTGTTTTTTTTTTT